AGTGTACTCTGTGAGTCCACATAGCTGTAGTTTTGTTTACAGTACTACTTTTGTGTTCGTTGCCCTCCAGCCAGGAAGTAGCACTTTCAAGAGCACATTAGCTGCAATAGCATAGGGAGGATCAGGTGGTGAGTGAAGCCATAGAACTCCCAAGAGACTATATCCTTTGTCTTCAGCTGCAGGGACAAGCAGAGAAGGACCATGAGGCAGGGTTACGCATGTCTGAACTCAAACTCTCCTTGGTGGGGCTTGCTGTGCTTGCTATGGTGAAGGCAGGGATGGTTCTCAGGCCAATGGAGTTATATTCCCCTGGTGATTATGGCTACCTCTGCTGCTTCATGTAGGTTGCCAGGGATGTGGGGGGAAAGTGGGCAGTTACAGTCTTACCTTCCCATGCAGCCCAAAAGGCCTGTCTCACTCCTACTGTGCCCCCCACCCACCCCACAACAACACTGAATTTATTTCCAGGCAGCAGGTGAGCAGGGCCGAGACCATGCCCCAGGCTACCAGCCTCTTGGCTGAGGAAGCAAGCAGAGCTTTCAGGTTTCACGCCTCCCTGCGTGCAATAACTTCTTTGCTGTGTCTGCACTCCCAATTTGCCCCCTCCACCAGGTTCTGTCCAGCACATCTTGCATTTGTTCAAAATTGTTACAAAGTTCAGCTGCAAGTTTTTTTTTTTTTCCCTGTGGTGTTTCCCCAGTTCCTCTGGCAGACCTCCACAAGGATACTTGTGAAACAAAGGCAGAAATGGCTTCCCTGGGGACTGAGAGTGCCCACGGGGCTCTTTCCCCTGCTTCTTGAATCCTTTTATTTTGCTTGGCTCTCTAAATTTGTTTCGGCTCCAGTTAAGGTCCAATCCTTTTCCCATGATCTGGACTTTCAGGTTCCTCAGTGATGGTGTGTGTTCAGGGACAGAAAATTCCCCTTTCATACTCAGGGCACTCACAGTTTTTTGGCTGTCTCCAGGGGCCTACAGCAGCAATCCACTTCCTTCAAAGGGCCTGTGGATTCTCTCAGATTTCCTACTATGTTCCTGTGGTAGTTCTTGGAACAAATTTGTAATGTGAATTTCCACATGCTGCTCTATCTATCCAAGCCCAAGAGTAGATTTTAAATGTTCTCTTAACAAAAAATAAGTATGTTAAATAGTTCATATGTTAATCTGTTGGATTTAGCTATTTCACAATATATACATATTTGAGAGGTCAACTAACCTAAAAAAAAGAAAAAGAAAAAATATCGTATCATTTTGAAAACTCGTGAAAACTTAATTTTAAAAATGTTTCTCAAGAAAAATGATTCTGTTCTGCTAGATAGATTAATCAATGAAAATATAATTATCAGTTGGTGAAAGACACTTTTGCAGATGTTATGAAAGATATTTAAAAGTTTAAGAAAAAAATCAGAAATTAATAACCTCCCAAAAAAGAAATAATCAGAACAAAATGGTTTCACTGGTGAATTCCACCAAACATGTAAGAAAGAAATGTTATTAATTTTCTGCCAATTCTCTTCATAATCTCTTCTAAAAAAACATAAGCAGAGGGGCTATTTCCTAACTCATTCTATGAGACCAATGTTACACAAATATCAAAACTAGATAAAGACATTACAATAAAGGAAAACTAAAGATTTATACCTCTCATGATCATCAATCCAAGAATCCTCAACAAAATATTAGTCTACTGAATCTCACAATTTATAAAAGAATTATAAACTGCAACCAAGGAAAGTGTATTTCTGTCATTGAGGGCTGGTTCAGCATTAGCAATTCACTCAATGTGATCCGCTCTATCAATAGACACAAGGGGAAAAAATCACATGATTTTAAAAATTCATGCAGAATAATCATTTGACAAAATCTAATATCCATTCACAATAAAAACTCTAAGTAAAATAGAAATTCAGAAGCAACTCCCTGAACTAGATCAATATCTTCAAAAATATACAGCTAAGATGATTCTTATTGGTATAACACTAGATGCTTTCACAAGGAAATTTAAAGTATACACATTTGAAAGGAAGAAATAAAACTGTTTTTGTTTGCAGATGGCATGGTTGTCTATGTGGAAAATCCCAAACAATAGACAGAAAACTTCTTGGAACTAAGAAGCAATAGAAATATAAAGTTAATATATAAAAGTAAATTTCTTTTCTATATATGAGCAATGCACAGTTGCAATTTGAAATTTTAAAAAATGCCATTTTACAATAGCACCAAAAAATGAAAGATATAACTTTAACAAATTATGTATAGGATCTTATGTAGAAAACTGCAAATCTCTGATTGAAGAAATAAAAGACTATCTAAATAAATAAAAGATGTTCTGTGCTCATGGAATGAAATACTCAGTATTGCTAACATGTCTTTCCAAATTTGAACTAGAGATCTAATAAAATAAAAAACCAAAATTCTTACAAGCTATTTTGTAGACATCTACACACTGAATATAAAATTTATATGGAAAGTCAAAAGACTTGGGAAACCAAACAATATTAAAGAAGAACAAAGTTGAAGAATGCATACTGCCCATTTTCAATAATTATTTTAAAGCTACAGTAAAGTTGTGGTATAGTAATGTAGAAAGAATAGACAGATCAATGGAAAATAACTGGGAATTCTGAAATAGACCCATAAACATATTGATAATGAAGCAAAGGCAATTCAGTTGAGAACAACACTCTTTTCAACAAATGATGCTGACACGAATGTGAAAAAATAAAAATTTGGAGACAGAGTTTGTACCTTGCACAAAAATTGACTCAAAATTCGTCATAGACATTTTATAGTAAGTTATCTAAATGTAAAATGCCAAACTGTAAAACTTCTAGAAGAAAAAATTGCAGAAAATCTAGGTAATCTTGAGTTTCATTATGTGTTTTTAACTGCAACACCAAAAGCTTGATCCAAGAAAGAAAATTTGGTAAGTTGTATTTTACAAAATTGAGAACTTCTGTTCCATGAAGGGCACTGTTAAAAGAACAAAAATACAAATTTTATGTAGGGCTAAATTGTTTTCTGAACACATATCTGATAAATGACATGTCAAAAATATATGGAGATCTTTTAATCTTCAACAATAAGAAAGCAAACAACCCAATTTTAATAAATGGACAAAAGATGTGAGCAGACAACTCACCAAATTAAGTAGATAGATCACAAATTAGTATATACAAGAATGCTTATTTATATATCATTAGGGAATACCGCTACACAGTTATTAGAATAGCTAAAGTCCCAATCACTCACAGTACCAAATGCTGACAAGAATATGGAGCCACAGAAACTCTCATTCATTAGTGCTGATATTCAGACTGCTACAGCCACTTTAGAAAACAGTTTGGCAGTTTCTTACCGAGTTAAACATAGACTTATAATCCAGAAATCATATTTCTAGGTATTTCCCAAATGAATTAATACGTCCACAGAAAGGTTTAAAGTAGCTTTACTTATAATTGGAAAAACTGGGAGCAACTAAGATGTCCTTTAATAGGTGACTGGATATACAAACTACGGAATATAGACAATGGAATATTATGAAATGAGAATTAAGGTACAAAAGGCATGGATGAAACTTCAGTGCATGCTCTAATTGACAGAGATGAATTTTAAAGACCCAGATTCTGTGTGATTCCAACTATGTGATATTCTAGAGAAGTCAGACTGTAGATATAATAAAGAGATAAGTGGTTAACAGCAGTTTGGTTCAGAGGAGGGTTGAATAGGTAAAGGAAAAGATGTTTTAGGCTCTGAAACTATGTTGCATTATACCATCATGGAGGACACATGACGGTATGCATTTGTCAAAACCCACAAGACTTTATAGTACAGGGAATAATCTTAATGCATTAAAGTGAATTTTAAAAATAATGTATTGAGCCCAAAAGTTTGAGACCAGTCTGGGAAGCACAGTCAAACCTTGCCTTTGAAAAATGTAGAAAATAAAATTAGTCAGGCATGGTGGCATGCCCTAGCTACTTAGAAGGCTGAGATGGGAGATTGCTTGAGGAGCTCAAGACTGTAGTGAGTGTGATTGTGCCACTGCACTTCAGCCTGGGTGATACAGCAAAATTGTTAAAGAGAGAGAGAGAGAGAGAGAGAGAGAGAGAGAGAGAGAGAGAGAGAGAGAGAGAGAAAGCAAAAGAAAAAGAAAAAGAAAAGTGTTATAAAAATAAGAGATTGACAGAATCTAGGATGGAACTTAGAATGTGACAAAATAGTCTGTGTTACAAATGTATGCACAGACTTAACAGAAAGGGTGGAGGAAGGGTCATAACCTTAGCAATTCTGGAAATCAGTGGAGGATTCACAGGGCATCAGTTAACAGTACTGATAGCTCTATACATATGTACACAAGAACGAACAACTTAGTCTGATAGTGCTATATGTATGTACACTAGAATGAAGTGAAACTTAGTAAGCTCTTGGTTGATGATGTGAGCCAGGTTTCTCACTGTCAGAGACAGTTTACAAATAAGCAAGGGGAGAAGTCTGGGATGACTTATGTGGCAATGGATTAGGGTTAGTGATGTCAGTATGAACTCACATTTAGTTTGATATAGATTCAGATGTGTATAAATAGAAGTGGGTATAGGCATGTATTTATACATGGGCTAGTACGCAAATATATTTTCCTGCCATCAGCTGAGAGAGCTTGGGCTATCCTAGCAGCAGCGAACACACTTTGTGCCCAGATGTTGGTTTCTAATACTATTACCCAGTGAAGAGAACTAGAGCTCCTTAGATAAATCACTGATTCTAAGACTGGGACAGGAAATAGACAAGAGGAGTCTGGGGCATCTTGTAGTTTCCAAAGCTAAGGAAGTGTTCAAATAAAACTCCCACGATTATGAGAGTATGTCAAAGGGACCAGAGCTAACTGAAAGCACTGCCCCTCACCAAGGCTGGAAAAACTTGAGCAATATGGTCCCTAGTAAGTAGTATGGATTATAACCTAATGTATAAAGTGCATGGCTATGAGCTCATGCTAATATAACCAAATGAATTCAGGAGTGTAGACAAATCTCCTATGTAGACACAGTTCCAAATACTTTAATAATTTATTTTATTTTGAAGCTACATACTGAATTTATTAATACAACATTAACTTTCTATGTGTAAAAAAAGTCTTGGTACATAGTAATAAACAAAAGGATGAGGCAAGACACATCACACAGAAACCTTCTGGCTCCTTTCCTCTGTATTCCTGTAGCGCCACTGATGAATTATGAGCACAATCCTCGACTGTTCAAGTGCGGGCTGCACATAGTGACTTAAAAGATACAGTTTGGAAAGAATGGAAAAAGAGTAAATTTAAAGTCGACAAACCTGACAACACCTCTCATTCAGGTGATGAAGGTCAACTTCAAAGCGGAAAGTCATGTTGATAGCATGTACCTTGATGTGATATGATAAGGATGCCACTTTGATTCTGCGGTCCCACTCTCTCAAACCTATAACTCCAGTGTAATTATAAAAAAATCATCAGATGAATCCCAGTGAAGAAGCGTTCTACATAATACCTGACCACAACAGCTCAAAACTCCCAAAGTTATCTCAAAAAGATAAAAAGTCTAAGAAATCATCACAGCCAAAAAGAGCCTCAGGAGACCGAACATCCAAAGCTAATGTAATATCTTGAATGGACTCCTAGATCAGAAGAGGAAACTAGGTAAAAAACAAGCGAATTCGAAAACAGTATGGGCTTTAGTTAGTAATTATCAATATAATAGATGCATTAATTGTAACAGATGTGTTATACTGACAATAATATCTAGCTACATACAATTATGTCGAGTGGTCTAAATAAATTTTATCACATACCAAAAGGGCTTTCAGAGGTCACATTTAGATGATTTCCTCCTCTTTTATTCTGTTCCTTGTAGCTCCTTGCAATATCTTCTCCCTTAAGACTCTACATACATGTTGCTACCCTTGAAGAGTAAAACTGTAGGGTGCATCTACCTTTTAATATAAATCAATAGAATTTAAAAAGTCATTAATGTCAAAGTTATATCTTAGTCTTTTGCAAAATAAAAATGAAATTGTAAAGAAATTCATTTTAAAATACATGACTTTAAGGTGGTAGGTTTGATTTTGGTGAGGAGATCCTCGCTCTGCTAGAGAGGTCTTTTACATCATCCCGTGTGAACATCATATTTTGGCAGTCAGCAGTTCACACCTCGAATACACAGAGGACTTGGCGTGTTGTGTTAAATTGAATGTTATTGTACATTCTATGAAAGATTTCCAAAGGATTTCTGACACACATATTTTGGCTCATAATCCTGAAGGAAATGTTGAAAACTGATGTAAAAAATAGAATTTTATCCTCTTTGTTGCTATGTTCTCAAAAGACCAAAATGAGCTTTTTAGTCATGTATTATAAAATATAATCAGGCTTAGCTCGACTTTAGGTGTTACTTAACTGTGGCGTTCCTAAAATTTATTTTCCCTTCAATTAAGATACCCGTAGTCCTGATACCTACCTGTAATTATGCCTTGAAGGGTTCTCTAAATGTGGACTTCTCAGTTGAGATATAACTAAAACTTTCTAAAACTGCACTTAAAACTGAGAACTCCGCTTTATTTTTTTTTATAGAGTCATCTTTCATTTATAGAAGGAAAATCTCTAAACAGTATATGCTGCAAAGAACTTGAGATGGTCTGCTCTTGGCCTGTGCAGGCCCCAGAGGATTGCCCTTTTGAAATATCTGAGCTAGTCATTTCTCCACTCATTTCTTCAAATGAATCTTCCCATTTCCTGTCTTGGTCTCTTCTGGTCCATTTTTCATCCTACAGCCAGAGAGAACATTTTAAAATGAACCCAATTATGTCACTTTCGTTTATAAAACCCTTCAACCTCTTTCCAGTGCCCACAGGCTGAAGTCCAAAGTTGTTACTGTAACCTGTTACTATAGCACGTGCTTGCCCCACTTCCAGCTTCATTTCCAGTCACTCCTCTCTGTGCATAATGCCAGCAAACCACAAGAAACTTCTCCAAGATCAGGATGTGCTCTCTCGTGACACCATCACACACTAGCCTCTGTCAATTACACTTCCATCTTTACCTAAAAATTCTGACCTATCCTTAGATATCTCGTCCTCCAAGGAGCCTTCAAGCATGCAAAGACGAAATCCACCCGCAGTTTTATAGCCATTGATGAGATAGGCCCAGCAGTCTTTAGCCCCAAGCATTTTGCTGCAGGAGATCCACCTTTTTTGTTTGTTTGCTTGTTTGTTTTGAGAGTAAGGAGTTTTGCTCTTGTTGCCCAGGTTGGAGTGCAATGGCATGATCTCGGCTCACCGCCACCTCCGCCTCCCAGGTCCATGTGATTCTCCTGTCTCAGCCTCCAGAGTAGCTGGGATTACAGGCCTGCGCCACCACGCCTGGCTAATTTTTTTGTGTTTTTAAGAGAAAGGGGATTTCTCCATGTTGGTCAGGCTGATCTCAAACTCCCGAACTCAGGTGATCCGCCCGCCTCAGCCTCCCAAAGTGCTGAGATTACAGGCGTGAGCCATCGCACCTGGCGAGGAGATCCACTTTTTTTGAGAGCTTATTATGGTTAACACTAGTAGTTCTAGTTAGATGAGCTCATTCGTTTATTTATATGCAAATATTGAATGAACACCTATCAGACAGTATTCTTCAAGGGTTCAGAGATCAGCAAATAGGTGCTTGGGCTACAAAACAATTACTGCTCTCATGAAGTTCTTTTTCTTTTTTTCTGGGAGTAGGCAAAGAATCAGCATATACGAAATAAAAGTGAATTAAATGGTATTTTAGAAGGTGATAAATGCTGTAGGCATGAGGATTGGAAAAAGATAAAAGAGATTGAGAGAAAAGAGGGTAGAATATAGCATTTGAATGTTCCAATCAAAAACTTGAATAAGGATAGAGAGTTAACCAAAAGGGATCTGGTGGAAACTCATTCCAGCCAAGATCCTAAGTCTTAAGGTAAGGAAATACCTGGAGGGTAGAGAAAGAGCAGGAAGACCAGTGTGACTGGGGTTGAGTGGGTGAGGGGAAGAGTAGTTGGAGTTGAAGTCACAGAGCTAATAGTGGACACATGCAGGAGGGTTTTGGAGGCTAGTGTAAGGGTTTGTCTTGCTAATCTTTGGGCCTTCTTCTCCCCTGACCTGGATGAATAGGAACTATATTGGCCAAACCTTTCACCTCTCTTCTTGAATACAGTGGCCACGACAGGACCAGTCAGCACCCTTTCATGGGTTTAATGTAGACATTGCCCAGCATCTAAGGGCATGTGGAAGGAGGAGGTTATTCTCATTATTGTGAAACTCCTACTTGTGAAAAAACTGTAAGGCCTGCTAGGCGAACTGGCTCCCGCCTGTAATCCCAGCACTTTGGTGGGGGGGCGAGGCAGGCGGATCACGAGGTCAGGAGATGGAGACTAACACTGTAAAATCTCATCTCTACTTAAAATACAAGAAATTAGCCTGGCATGATGACATGTTTCTGTAATCCCAGCTACTCAGGAAGCTCAGGCAGGAGAATCGCTCGAACCCAAGAGGTGGAGGTTGCAGTGAGCTGAGATCGTGCTACTGCACTCCAGCCTGGGCGACAGAGCGAGACTCCATTTCAAAAAACAAACAAAATAACTATAAAGCTAGAACAGCTCGTGGCTGTATTTTCTGTCACATGTAAGGAGCTTGTTTAAGAATACAGTTATTGGAGAAGAAAATAGCTCCATGAGATGGGCAAAGAAAAAAAAAATCCCAAATACATCATTTGAGATCTTACACCTAGCGATGGCTGAAACCAGCCCCTACCTTGAATATTGAGGTAAAGTTGGTTTCAGCTGGAGTTAAATTTCCATCATTTGAAAGCTGCAATCTTCATGATTGCATCTCTCAGTACTCCCGATCACCCTCTGATTTTCTATTTCTGTAAGTATTGTGTTGGGGGGAGGCCCTATTTCTACCTACACATCACCTGGCATCAGCAGTTATCAAATCACAGTCAATCTTGTTTCCTCGACTAACCCTATCCACTTTCCATCTCCATCAGCCTCGTAAAACATCGTATCGTCTTATCTGTGTCTTATGAATCTTCGAACGATAGAAGGCTTTAAAAAACATAACCACAAATTAGTATACCTAGAATAACAATAATGATTTTTAATGGGATGCATTTAGTAGGTCAAGAATTTTGGAGAGTGGCAAGAAGGCTGTATCACTACTCCTTTGCTCAGAGCTGGAGCTCCAAAGTGATGAATAGATTCCATTTGCTTACATTTCTTTTTATGTTTAGATTATCTGGTACTATTGATTTTTTAGTTTCACTAGAGGATTAAAGAAAATAAACTTCCTAATATTGATTTAAAGAAAAGGGAAGACGACTATGAGGTAATTTGAATGAAGTAATTTAACATCCTTTGTATTGAATATTAACCACTACTTCCTGTATGGCGATGTTGCAAAGTTTTCATTTAGCTGGAGCCAAAAAGTTTAACCTGAATATTATTATAAGAAGTATTCTTGAGAGTATTTTCCTGCTACTTCATGTAGCTCTCTGCTTGAGTCCTCCATATATTTGCAACAAGTAATGATTTATAAATTGTTCTGGGAAAATTGTTACCTCCATACAAACAAAAATAGAAAGCCAATTATTAAAATCCACCAAGAGTTTCCCATTGACTATAGGGAATAAACCAACAAAAACAGGATGTGAAAACAAAGCCACCCCTCTGTCATTTTCTTCTTCAACCACGGCTGAAAACTATGGTTCATTTATCTTTATATCTCTAGACTTAAGAGTGCATAGTAAATGCTCAATAAATTTTGAAGGAAAGGGAATAAGGGAGTTAGTTAAAAGTGTATCAGTTTTAAGCTCTCTCTTGAATTACAGTCATAAGGTCTGGGTAACTGTGTATATCAAAATAGCTTTCCCAAGGCAGTTGTCATAAGTAATTGTGCAATGATTTTTTCTACAATCCTCAATGAAGGCTTTCCGACACAACAGCTGAGATAGCTGGGACTTGTTAATGGACTTGAAAACATGCAACCCCCTGGCTACTCATTTCTCCCCTCTAGAGAATCGGGCCAGCATCATGGCATTCTCAGAGATACTCTGTGCAGTAAAGACTAGTGGTGCAGCTTAACTACATAAATCCCACAAAAAATATTTGCTGAGATATTTAAGGCCTCTTTGCTGAAAGTCTTTATTGATAAATGCCTTCAGATTAAAGGTACTTGAGTCATGAAGGAACCATGATACTGCATCTTGTGAGGCATATGAAAAATGGATTCTCTTAATGGTATAGTGCTTTCCAAGTTATGACAAATGGTCCAGACTCAGAGATCATGTTCTAAATAATACTGATACCTCCAAAGAGTTCTGGTCAATGGCAATGTCCAGCACTATGTGCCAAATGCTAGCTGAAGTACAATGATATGAGAACAGCACAGACAAAAGAATGAAACAGCAGGGTAAGCAACCCCATATTTTGTTCACACTCTCCAAATTGATCCTTGCTTGACATAAGTGTGGGTGACATAGGTTTTCCTCTGCTATCACCTCCACCTCATTATTCTTATTAGATTCCAACATAAAAGAAAGGTGGAAAAGACATCACCTGTCTCACCTGGCCTGCTACAGCACAACATAATATACAATGAAGTTATATCCTTTACCCTCATGTACTTAGGTCTCTTGACCAAGAGATAAAAAGTCTGTTCCTTGAAAGTAATTACAAGCTAGAAACATTTTATTTTATCATCATTCATTCTCAACATTGTTCCTTTCTTTCTGTAGGGCCGAGGTTCTCACCTATATTGTATTCCTTCTAACCAAAGAACTTAATTTAACATTTCTTGTAGAGTACCTCTGATGGCAAAGATTTTTTTAAGACTTTGCCTAATATGGTGTTTCTGCCTTACTTTTGAGATTTATTTTCTCTGGATATAGTGCAGCATTTTCCCCCTAGCACATTAAAGACTTTACTACATTTTGTTCTTGCTTAGATGGTTTCTGATGAGAAATTAATTAACACATTTGCATTAATTTGCATGTTTTTTCAAGATTTTTCTTATTATAAGTATGGGGTGGACATTCCTTTCAACTTTCTACAACTCCAGGGTAAATTTGGAAGGCCCATCATTATTTTTAGAGTATATCTTCAATGGATATTGAATCCTGGGTTAACAGATGGCTTTTGCATTTAATTTTTCTTCACCACTATTTTCTAGCTAGTGTTGTCTTAGACAAGAAATATGGTGCTAATGATTATCTTTGTTCTTCTGTATATAATGTTTTTCTTTATGGCTAATTTTATGATTTTTCTTTCTTTCTGAATTGCAGGAACTTGATGATAATATACTGTGGTTTTGGTTTATGATGCCCAAGTCCACTGAGTTTCCTGGATCATCAGACTTGGAAAATATATGGCCATTATTTCTTTAAATCATTTTTCTGTTCCAATCTTCCTTTCATTTTTCTCTCTCATATTTGATGTATACGTATTATACTTAGTATTGTCTGAAGTTTACATAGGCTCTGCTTATTCATTGCTCTCCTCTTTGTTTCTCTGTATTTCTTTTTTGGTGAGTTCATATTGTTCTGTCTTCATGTTCATTGATCCATAAAATTTTTATTCTTCATATTGCATCTCTCAGCTCTAGATTTTACTTTTGGCTCTTTTTTATGTGTTCAATGTCTCCTAAGTACATTAATGTTTCTTTTTAAATCTTCAAACCTAATTTTAATAGCTGCTTAATGTGCTTCTTTGCTAATCTCATCATGCCTTCCATTTTTGTGTCCACTTCTGTTAAGTTGCAATTCTCCTGTTTATGTACCAAATTCTCCTGCTTCTTTGCATTTCTAATATTTTTCATTGTATATTAAATATTACATATTCTAACATTCAAATTCTTTAGTGTTTTTTTTTTTCAAGTTTATTGTAAATCAGCTCGAGAGTCCCAAGGCTTAAAGAAAAATAATTGGCTCTGAGTGGCCTTCCGTCTAGGGCTAGATTGACCTTAATCCTATGGTATAAACCTTCTGGATTCTCTTGTGAATTACCAAGGTGCTTAACAAGGTTCCTCCTATCTGCCTACTTGGAACTTGAACATCATTTTGTACAAACTTTGTTTTTCCACTCACAGCTTCCCTGTAGTTGTTTTATCTCAGATACATTTTATTTTCACCTGAACTTTTGGATCCTGACCAGTACAGACATGTGAAATACTATAGGAGATCCTTTTGCAGAATTCTGAAGTCTGTTGCAAATCCCAGCTACCTCGGTATCTCTAAGCCCTTATGTGTCCCCTCAGCTCAGAAACCTTGCTGTGTTCTCTTCAGGCTCCCTGTCCCAGTGCCACCATCTGGGAAATGCCTCCAGGTAGAACTGAGATAACCGTGATGCTCACATTGTTGGTTTCCTTCTTTCAGTGATCCTAATCTTGTACCACTTCTTATTCAATGGCTGAACACAGTTATTTTATATATTTTGTCTATTATTCTAGTTGATCGTGGAAGAAATCCTTGCCTCTTAAAATTTACTCAACCGTGGCCCTATGTAGCGTGTTTGATTGCCTAAGGCATTGCATCTGTTTGCCTGATGCTCTGCGTTCTACTGGTCTGCATGCTTCCTAGTATGAAAATAAATCTTTTAATTACAAAAGGGTCAATCTGGTCTTCAGGTCACAACTTCCATAAATTCAATATCAGCTTGTCTTTACCAATTGTAAGCCTTCTATTAACATTTTTTTCCAATTGCTTTGCTATTATCTTTCAATCTACAAGAATTTCAGAAGGCGTAGAAAGTTTCTGGTATGAAAATAGAGGAGGCAGGATTCCTTTCTTCTTCCCTAGGCCTGTGTGAGTTTTCTTGAAATCATCTTTGGAACTCCCTGTTAATGCACATTACTGTTTCATATTCTTCCTTTTGCTTCTTAGATGCTTACATTATGTTTGAAGCTAGAAGAGAGATCAGGTCAGCTGATTAACTTTACCAAGCGGTGCGAACAGAGGTAGCTTTTCCGAACTAACCTCAGAATGCTTAGGTTGAAGGATGAATATAAAAAGTGCTAAAAATTGATTTTTTTAAAAAAAGCATGAATAAAATATTCCGACAAACGAGGAAGAGCTAGTACATAATAGCACATGTCACATAGATAATATTTAATGGTATAGGAAAAAAAATAATGAATCTGAATCTGGTACAGAGAGCTAATTGTAGTTTAGCTACCCAGTGAAGAAAATACAAGAAGCGGAGGCTTAGATGGTTAAATAAGCGAGAGTCTGACTCCAGAGATGAGGAGTCAATACTCACGGTAATAATGAAACAGTGAAGTGCTTAAAAAGTTTTCAAATATTGTATGTTCAGTGTTCTACTTAGGAAATTTTTTGACCGGGCACGGTGGCTCATGCCTGTAATCCCAGCACTTTGGAAGGCCGAGGCGGGTGGATCACGAGGTCAACAGATTGAGACCATCCTGGTCAACATGGTGAAACCCCGTCTCTACTAAAAATACAAAAAATTAGCTGGGCATGGTGGCACGTGCCTGTAATCCCAGCTACTCAGGAGGCTGAGGCAGGAGAATTGCCTGAACCCAGGAGGCGGAGGTTGCATTGAGCCGAGATCGCGCCATTGCTCTCCAGCCTGGGTAACAAGAGTGCAACTCCGTCTCAAAAAAAAAAAAGGAAACTTTTTTTTGATATATATATGTTCATCTGATCTTTTAATTACTTTGCGGTCACTAACATTTATCATCATTCCCATATTACCAATAAAGTAACTATCCAAGGAAAGTTGAAGTTTCAGTAATTCATGTAGGGACACCTACAAAAAACTATATGGGGGTTCTCCTAAAAATTAAAAATAGACCTATCATATACTCTACCATCTAAGAGATGCAACTGGGGATCCAACTGAGGTGAGTAACAAAATCCATGTTTCTAACCACTGTGCTCTACTAAATTTTATGTAGGTCGGGCTTTTTTATACGCTCTGCCTCTGTCTTTGCGGGGAGCCAAAGCACATTTAAAGGCCATGGGAAGGATGGTCTGGACACCATGGTTGCCTCTTTACGTCACTCAGTTTCAAGCTCTCCCTTGTCCCCCCCTTCCCTCCCTCACCGCCCTCCTTCCCTCCCTCGCCCCCTTCCTTCCCTCCCTCGCCCCCCTCCTTCCCTCACTCGCCCCCCTCCTTCCCTCCCTCCCCCCTCTTCTCTCCCTCGCCCCCTCCTTCCCTCCCTCGCCCCCCTCCTTCCCTCCCTCGCCCCCCTCCTTCCCTCCCTCGCCCCCCTCCTTCCCTCCCTCGTCCCCCTCCTTCCCTCCTTTGATCAGTATCTCATCAGCTAGTCTAGGACAGCTGTCTCATGTTACTTTACTTGGATATTGCTGTTGTATCAGCTTCTTTACACGTGGATTGTATTTTAAGAGTAGATTCTGACAGAACCCTAGGAACAAATAAAAAATTAAACCTTTAGTTAATACAGCATGTATAAAATTGAGCCCAAAAATACACACACAAACTCAACAAAATGCAAAAGAATGATTAGGGCACAACCAGTGTGCATGCTTTCCACCATAAACAAATGGACAACTTATATAAATTCCATATTTGAAGGAAAATTAAATAATGATTGGAAACATTAATCTATTTACCCTTTAACAGCTGTCTAAAAAAATTTCCTGTAATTTTTTATTTATGAATTTTCAATTAAACACAGCATAACTATAGATTCAGAAGTAAAAATCCTCTTAAGCAGATGTCAAATGATTTTGATAAGATACTTCCGTAATTCATCTCTTTGACATTACAAAAACACACTGGTAATCTTTTAAGTTCCTTCCCTCTGTAATGAGCCTTGCTCCCTATTCTAATTGCTGTTGTTTTGCCTTTTTGTCTCTTGGGTTGTAATGTGGTTACGTTTCATCAGAATTTTCAAATAAAGTGAATAAAACATATACAGTTAAAATAGATTTTTAAAATTCAAATTTATATCTTAAAATATTATATTTATGACTACTGAGCTATTGCAAATAATGTGCAACTATAAGTTCTATCCAAATTTAGTTAAAATACATCTATGATTTGAATGTGCAAACAAATACAAATCACTCATAATGTAAAACAAAACAAAAGCAATGAAAAATTAACTGAAGTTGAATAGAGAAATGAGACATTTAGGATAAATGCGAGCATTGAGAGACTCAGTTCATTTCTTTCTCATGAATGAGATATCCTGCATTTATCATATATATCAGTATGAATTCATATATTATTTTATAAAGCTTAGTTATAATGGATCAAAAGAGAAGCTTAAATATATGCTCTAATTTTTGTTGCATTATTGTTATTTTTATTTCTTGTTTACAAAAGTAACTTATAATTTGCAAAAAGTGGAAATATTTTACCACAAAAAAAATTGGTTTTAATACAAGATCCATACAATCGCTGTTAGTATTTTTGTATATCTTCTCTATCTCTTTTATTTCCTTAAATTTGTCAGTATGGAAAATTTAAAATATGCTTTAAAGAAGGAAGAATAATATGATGAATATCTATGTTTCCCTCCCCCAGCTTCCACAGCTTTCAGCCCTGTTATGTTCTCCACTCATCTCTGGACTATTTCCGTGCAGTTTCATGAAATCATATTGTTTCATCCATGAATGACTCCGAGTCTTTTTTCATTTTGTTTAATTTCATTCTGTTAAATTTCATGTGAAACATTTACATGTGGCCAGAGTACAACTGTGAAAGAATGCATCTTCAGAAAAGTCTTGCATTCACCCAGATTCTCTCTGCTATCATGCTGTTCCCTTCCTCTCCATGTGGAGAACAATTTTTCATTAGTTTATGATTGGACCTTAACTTCTTTTTTAAAGCATTGGCAGACACATATTTGTGTTTTCTTCTTCTTCTTTGTTACATAAAATACACCATGTCCATCACAATTCTTTACCTTGACTTTCTGTAGTTTAAAAATTGTATCCTGAGGCAGGGTGTGGTGGCTCATGTCTGTAATCCCAGCACTCTGGGAGGCTGAGGTGGGCGGATTCCTTGAGCTCAGGAGTTTGAGACCAGCCTGGACCACATGGCGAAAACCTGTCTGTGCAAAAAATACAAAAATTAGCTGGGCTGGTGACATCCACCTGTAGTTCCAACTACTCCAGAAGCTGAAGTGGGAGGACTGATTGAGCCCAGGAGTTAGAGGCTGCAGTGAACAGACTTTTCATCACTACACTCCAGCCTGGGCAATAGAATGAGACTCTGTCTCAAAAAAAAAAAAGAAAAATATTATAACCTGGACACCCATTTTCAACAGTGCATAGAGATTTCCTTTATTCCATTCTTAGAGCTGCTGACACTCCACGGCATGGATTAATTATTTATTCACCTAGCTCCCCATTGGTGGGTATTCAGCTCATTTACCGTCTTTTGTTCCTGCATATAGCGCTTCATATGAGAAACTTGTGCATACATTCTGCAATATATTTGCCACTTTGCCTTTGGTGTACATACTTAGAAGTGGGGTTCCTCAATTAAATTGTGAATTCAGGTGAAATTTTGCTGGATAGCACCAAATTCTCTTCTACACAATTAACATTTTGTATGCCAGTTGTTAATTGTGCTTATCACCAGATTATGTTGTCAGCATCTGATGTTAACCAATTTGACATGAAAGAAATATCCCAGTGTAGTATTTTTTCCTTAAATTTTATCAAAGTTTAATATACATGCAGAAAAATTTACAAACCACAAGCATCCAACTCAGTGATTTTTCGTAAAATGAGTATGCATGTATGATCAATCAGCCTACAGTTAAGAATTAGACATTTTCAGTCCCTCAGAAGCCGTACTCAGGAACTTCATCCACATAAAAGTGGCCATTATGTTAACTTCTGAAACCCTCAATGTGATTTGTCTATTTTTACACAATTACCTGAATCAAATTGCACAGTAAGTGCTCTTTTATTTACAGTTTCCTTTTTTGAGGGGGTTAACTATTGTTTTTATAAGATTTAACTGTGAGGCAACATGTAATAATTGTTTGTTCTCATTTCTGTATAGCATTACAATATATGAATCATTGATTTATCCTCTGTTTGATAGCACTACAATGAATCTGATTTTTCCTATTATAGATTGCTGCTATGAATAATCTTATATAATGTTTTTATCTAAAAACATGGATATATGAGCACAATTTTCATAAATATTTGTCATTAAATTTAAAATTATTGGGCATTCCAAGATATAGGATGATATGCTAAAATCTAAGAATAAAATATGACTACAAACAAATTCACAGATGATTCAAGTATTGTAGTGAAGAGAAAATGATTTTAAAAAGCTCTGATTACAAATAGTGGAAAGATGAATAAAATAATTAAAATGGAGAAATTTATCATATACATTAAATATATAAACAAACACAGTTTTAAAAATAAAAAAGAACTCAGCTAACTAGTTTATCAGTCTACTAGACAACTCAAAATAATTTATTACTGAAATGGAATACAGATCAATCAAAAATGTCCAGAATAGAGCACAAAAACCAAAAGAGTAAAGAGAATATAATTATTGAAATCAGTTACAGAAAAGCATGACTGCCATCAACATCTACATTCAACATTATACTTGAATTCTAGCCAAAATAATTTAAAAAAGAATGAAATAAGAAATTTAAACACCAGGGAAAAAACTCATCATATTTCAGATAACATAATTGAGTACATATAAAATTCAAAGTAAGCAATGGGTAAACTCAGGTTTATCAATGAATTTAAAAAAATGGCTGGACATGATATGAACATTACGCACCTTCCATGCATTAGCGACAAATACAAATAACAAAACATCACAGTCATATTGGAAAACATCAAATATTAGAAATAAATGTTATTAAATATATATGGGACTTCTGTCTTGAAAACTATATAACACAGAGATTATGTAAGTAACAAATAAATGGAGACAAATTACATCTTTAATAATTAGAAAACTTAAAATTGTAGATAAAAAGATTTCTTTATGTTCATCTATAGAATTAATGTAGTTGAGCCTACCCAAAAACCCAGCAAACATTTTCTACAGGAATTTATAAGCTAATTTAAAAATGCATGGGCATTCACAGGGTTCAGAATAGCCAAGAAAATTTTGAAGACACAGAAACTTACCATATCACATATACTAAAACTGTATTGTGATAAAAGCCACACAAACAACACAAAATTTGCCATCTTAATAATTTTAGCGTGCAGTTCCCTAGTGTTATTCATACTCACATTGTTATGAAACAGATCTTTCGAAGTTTTTCATCTCGCACACCTGAAACTCTATACCCATTAAATAACAACTCACTTTTTTCCCTTTCCCCAACCCCTGGCAACTACCATTCTATTTTCTGTTTTTCTAAATTTAACTGCTTTAGATAATTTATATAATGGAATCATATTGTATTGTATGCCATTTGTGACTGGACTGGATTATTTCACTGAGCACAATGTCCTTAAGCTTCAGCCATGTTTTAGCATATAACCAAATGTCCTTCCTTATTAAGGCAGAATATTGTTCTTTTGTACGTATACACCACATTTTGTTTATCCATCCATCCATCAAAGGATATTTGTGTTGTGTCGACCTCTTGGGTATTGTGAATAGTGCTAGTATCAACACGAGTGTGCAAATACTTCTAAAAAGCAGAGTGCTTTCAGGTCATGTCCATGGCCTCAATAAAGGTATAGAACATGACCCTTGTCCTATACCTATATTAGGTTTGTAAATAAAAATATATAAATTTATAAATAAATGTTCCACTTTATTATTGAAGTGTCATACAGATCAATAAAAAATGTGGCGTGCAAACACCTTACTTTGAATTATTTTGCATATATATCCAGAAGTGGTATTGGTAGATTATATGATAGGTCTATTTTTAATTTTTAGGAGAACCTCCATATAGTTTTTTGTAGTGGCTGCACCATTTTTCAACAAACAATGCACAAGGGTTCCAATTTCTCTACATCCCCACCAACACTTGTTATTTTCTGTTTTGGGATAATTGCCATCCCAATGGTGAGAGGTGACATCACATAGTTTAAAAAGCTATGGTATAAGAAAGTGTGACACTGGCACAAAGAAAGACAATTAGGTCAATGGTTTCTCAATAAAGAGTTCTGGAAAACATTTATCAATATAGAAATATTAGTTTTAGAACAAAGGTAATACTGTGGTGGAACGTGAAAGCAGTGTTCTCTTCAATTAACTCTGCTAGGTTGATTAAATACCATAAGGAAAGAAAATGAATCATGACCCCTGTCCTATACCAAACACACAAGAGTCACCAATTCCAGATGGATTGCAGATTTAAACATAAAACTTTTAGAAAACCTAAAAGAATAACTATCCGCATGCTGCTGACTTGGCAAAAATTCCATAAATAGAATTTATAAAGCCAGTAGCTATGAAAAAAATTAGTAATGTGTTATATATTTAAATGAGAAATTTATTTATCAAAGGAAAATATTAAGATAACTAAGGTACAAGTCCTAACATAAAAATATTTGCATGTATGTATAAATGCAATAAAAATAAACAAAAGAACAGTATAGAGACTTGACAAATGACTGTAGCTTCACCATTATTTGTTATCAGAAAAAATACAAATGACCCAGAAATTTGAACCGAACTTTAGAAACAATAAAAAGGTATTTTGAAGACCAAGTATATAAAATTCCACATAAAAACATAGACAAGATTGTTCATGGAAGAAATCTATAACATAGGCAAGAAGGAAACACTCGAATACCAATAAATAAACTGATTGAATTAGTTGTTATAGATTCATAAAATGAATATTATACTGCGGTTATTATCAATGCACAACTTCAACCCCCAACGAAATGAACAAACCTCAACAACAACAACAAAATATTAAGAGAAAGAATCCAAAGACATTTACATAAAATTCAAAGAGGTGAAGCATGTATATGTTTATAAGTCAAGATAGGGGCCATTTAAAGAGGAGGTTGTAACTTCTGAAGCGCTGATATTCTCTCTCTTTATCTGGGGAACTTTTACATAGTTGTGTTCACATTGTGAAAATCCATAAGGCAGTTCACTTCTATCTATATACTTCTATTTCAGTGATACTTCAAAACAACTTTATAAAAACTAGAAAAAAAAAACAAACCAAGAAAAATTATAAAAATGATGGAACCCAAAACAGAAGCATGTACAAGGGAAGTCCTACAAAACTGGGCATATAGACACCATAACAGAAGAAAAACCCAGGCTACAGGGGGAAAATGTCCACTCGAATTCTTATAACTTATTAATGGTATATTTCATATTTAACTCAGTTCTCCATGATAAGGCCTCTTTTCCCTTTATAACATTTATTTTCTCCTACCATAAAATAAGGTCTTTTTTACTTTCGTGGGTACATAGTAGGGGTATATATTTATGGAGTACATGAGATATTTTGATTCAGGAATATAATACGTAATTATAACACCAGGGTAAATGGAGTATCTATCACCTCAAGTATTTACCCTTTCTCTGTGTTACAAACAATCCAATTATACTCTTTTAGTTATTATTATTATTATTTTTTGAGACGGAGTTTCGCTCTTGTTACCCAGGCTGGAGTGCAATGGCGCAATTTCGGCTCACTGCAACCTCCGCCTCCTGGGATCAGGCAATTCTCCTGCCTCAGCCTCCCGAGTAGCTGGGATTACAGGCATGTGCCACCATGCCCAGCTAATTTTTTGTATTTTTAGTAGAGACAGGGTTTCACCATGTTGACCAGGATGGTCTCGATCTCTTGACATCGTGATCCACCCGCCTCGGCCTCCCAAAGTGCTGGGATTACAGGCTTGAGCCACCGCGTGCGGCCTAGTTACTTTTAAATGTACAATAAATTACTGTTGACTGTAATCGCTCTGTTGTACTTCAAATACTAGATCTTATTTTTTCTAACTACGTTTTTGTACCCCTTATCCATCTCCACATCCCCACAACCAATGCCTTTTCCAGCCTCTGGTAACCATGCTTCTACTCTCTATCTGCATGAGTTCAATCGTTTAAAAATTTTCAACCCCAAAT